TTAGACTTTGGCATGTAAGAAATGTTTAAGCATTACTTAAAATCTTGCGACTTTATATATAGAAATATGAACTGCATGAAAAAATTTAGTTTTTAAATGTGATAATATCACATTAAGGAAATCATGTTGTTTTTAATTTACTCACCACAATGTTGTTCCAAACCTGTGAGACTTTCTTTTCTTTCTTTCTTTTTTTCTTCTGTGGAACACAAAAGGAGAATTTGCAGAGAATATTTTGGCTGCTGTTTTCCATATAATGAAAATAAATGATGTATGAGACTGTCAAGCTCCAAAATGACAAAAGAAGCATCATAAAATTAGAACTCTACTTTAGTAGACCACTATATTCCAAGTCTAATATATATGTATAAAAGCAGCCAACATATTCTTTAAAAATCTAACCTTTTTACATGGAATAAAGAAAGTCATACAGGTTTGAAAGAACATGATGGTGAATAAATGATGACATTTTAACTTAAATATTCTTATAATTAAGCGTGATCTACAATACCACATTTTTACATGGCGAAAACAAAAATTATTGGACTGCGTATTCTAATAAATAAGCTTAAATAACTGACTAATAATTGACTGAGTTTGAACCTGGAGTTAAGTTTATCCATATACTTCAATACAACCTCTAAACAGCTTACAGAGAAGTGGGAGATGACGAAAAACTGCTTTGAAATCTATTTATATCACTAACACTGTTGTGTTTTAGCTCATAGACACAGATTTCCCTGCCTCAGTCCAAGCAGCAAGAATTCAACTACATTTTCCCCCCACAAATTTAATCCAGCATTATTACAGCTTCCCAAACCTACAAAGCACATCGGTAATGGGTCGTTAATGTTTTAGTACTTTAGTACACTGTTGTTTACACCACAGCTTAGTAGCCTGAATACATATATACATATTAACAAAAAATAAACAAACAAACAAACCAAAAATAATAATAGTAACTAAAAATAAATATAGTCATATATAAACACACAGCAAGACTTTCAGTAAGATTTTTTTTTCATGTTTTCAAATAAGTCTCTTATGCGCACCAAGGCTGCATTTATTTGATAAAAAATACAGTAAAACAATTTAAAATACCTTTTTCCTGTTTTTAAAGGGGTCATATGATGCGATTTCAATTTTTCCTTTCTCTTTGGAGTGTTACAAGCTCTTGGTGCATAAAGAAGATCTGTAAAGTTGCAAAGACTGTTTGTGTTCTGTGTGTTTCGTTGTGAAAGCGAAACTAATTTGTTTGGCCTTCTAAAAGAGGATCCGGATCGGCTTTCACCGTGGGCGAAGCGGAGTCCAGCCCGGGGTCGTCACATGTGGTTGCCGCAAGCCCGCCGACCGCTCCTTCATCGAATCCGCCGGCCGCGCCGTTCTCAAGCCCTCCGCCGCTCACTCTAGGCCTCCGTGTGTTTCGTTGTGAAGGCGAAACTTCTTTGTTTGGCCTTCCAAAAGAGGACACGACTAGAAATCAGTGGTTAACTGATGGTGGTTCCAGAACAGTTTAACCCAAATATTCAGGTGTGTCCAGTGCATTTCATGGAGGATTGTTTCCTGATCCTGGTAGAGTAGACTACAATGCCGGCTGTTCTGACTCACAGACTGTAAGTAAGTTTTTTTTTATATTTAAAGAATTTGCCACTGACGATTCAAACGCGAGTTTTGAGCAGTGTAGAGTAGCGCTTGTTGTTTGTCATTTCTCCGATCACAAATGCAGACATGGTTTTATGTTTATGTGGCGCGATGCAACGCAATGCTTAAGAAGACAGTATAAATCATTATAATCCGTAATTATGTCCCCACTGGATGCAACAAATACCTCGTTTATAATGGGTTTTAATGTTTTTGTCTCGTCGCTCCGGCCGTACAGGGCATCACAGTATGGTAAGGGGCATAACATTTCCGTCACACGCTTGAGGTATTCGGCCAATCACAACACACTGGATAGCTGGCCAATCACAGCACACCTCGCTTTTCAGACCGATGAGCTTTGTAAAAATCGACGCGTTTCAGAAAGGCGGGGCATAGAGGAGAAACAATAATGTACAGTATGTGGAAAATAATGTGTTTTTTGAACCTTAAACCGCATAAACACATTTCATTACACCAAATACACAAAATAATGTTCTTTTTAGCAACATCATATCACCCATTTAATACATTTTAAAATGTAAGTTATTTCTGCAATGCAAAGCTGAATTTTCACCATCATTACTCCAGTCTTCAGAGTCACACGATCCTTTAGAAATCATTCTAACATGCTGATTTGCTGCTCAAGAATAATTTCTTATTAGTATCAAATTGTGCTGCTTAATATCTTTGTGAAAACTGAGATACTTTTTTTCAGGATGAACAGAAAGTTCAAAAGAACATTTATCTGAAATAAAAATCTTTTGTAGCATTATAAATATTTTCACTGCACATTTGATCAATTTAATGCCTTTGTAGACTAAAAATATTAATTTCTTTAACAAAATTCTTATTGACCCCAAATTTTTGAACAGTATATACAGTGGGTACGGAAAGTATTCAGACCCGGAGGAATGGCAGAGGATCCCCAAATCCAGGTGTGAAAAACTTGTTGCATCTTTCCCAAAAAGACTCATGGCTGTATTAGATCAAAAGGGTGCTTCTACTAAATACTGAGCAAAGGGTCTGAATACTTAGGACCATGTGATATTTCAGTTTTTCTTTTTTAATAAATCTGCAAAAATGTCAACGATTCTGTGTTTTTCTGTCAATATGGGGTGCTGTGTGTACATTAATGAGGAAAAAAAATGAACTTAAATGATTTTAGCAAATGGCTGCAATATAACAAAGAGTGAAAAATTTAAGGGGGTCTGAATACTTTCCGTACCCACTGTATGTTACATAATTTGTTGAATAAGTAAAAAAAAAAAAAAAAAAAACATTAGAGCAAAGTAGAAGAAACCATCTTTCAGTATGTTTATAATCTGCTTTGGTGGGGAAAAAAAAGAGAGAAAGAGAAGGAAATAAATTAAATTTCTGATACAGGCAAGGTGCATACTGCTACGCAAAAGGCCTGTTTACTTAGGCGTTTTATTTCTGTGATATAACACTGGGCTTAATCTTTAAAGTTTACAGACTTCCACCCAACTGCATTTAATGCGGAAAATTACACCTGTCAGTGCAGAGCCCAGTTCATTAACGCTACTTCCAGATCTGTGGAGAAATGTGATTAAGAGTATGATGACACACAGAGACTGCAAATCCACACTTAATTACGACCAGCGTGTTTTTTTCTTCTGCATCCATCAACACGGTCTCCTATTTTCCAGATTAATTTGAGCATGTAAATAAGATTCGGAAATGGATTAAACAACTTTCGGACGAAGACCCCCTTGGGTCACTGATTCAGTACTCTAATAGGAAGGAAAAAGTGTGATGCACTGTTAACTATTGGGTAAGTTTAAAGGGCTAGTTCACCCAAAAATGAAAATGATGTCATTAATTACTCACCCTCATGTCATTCCAAACCTGTAAGACCTTCATTCATCTTCAGAACACAAATTAAGATATTTTTTGATGAAATCCGAGAGCTTTCTGACCCTGCATAGACAGCAACGCAACTGATACGTTCAAGGCCCAGAAAGGTAGTAAGGACATCGGTAAAATAGTCCATGTGACATCAGGGGTTCAAACGAAAACACAGAGTGTTACAATATATATTTTTTCCTATTCCTACAGTATTAGAGAAACCTGTATGACAACAGTCATTGTTTTTACATTTCTGCTTGGTGACACAAGTGGAATGGAAATGAAGCATTTTGGCTTTTTGACTTCATACATTCCTCTGACAGCTTTCAACAACTTCGAAGTAAAATCTATTCCAAAGCAAACTCTTAAGTCCATCACATGGTATTAAAATCCTTCCTTTAATATCTCTGTTGATGTCCAGTTATCTTAATCCCAATATTACTATTTGATGAGTTGAGGAAAATCTATATTTAGACACATGCATAGTGGCCGCAGAAGGAATTTGGACACTTTTAGAAAACTGAAATCAAACTTAAAGATGTAAAACATCAACCATGCAAAACATCAAACCCAAAGGCATCTACAAACAAATGCTGAAAGAGTTTTTTTCAGAACTAACTTCACTTTTCAATGAAGCGCCAAGGTCATTTTAGAAGATATGTGAAGTCAGTTCAAATAAAGGCCACTTGCTTTGATATTCTGTTCTGTAATGCAAAGATCATCTGTATTTCTCTAATATTGAACACTTTTATGTCCCAGGGGCTGATTTTTATTAAAACTAAAAAAGTTAATCTTTTTTATTATCACACTGAAATTTGTTATTGTTTTACCCTTGTCCCAGAGCCAGACTTTCAATCTAAATATATGAAAATTCATCGTAAAAGTATGAATTATTAACTATGATGATCGAACAAACAATGACATAAACATAAACCATGTCAATATTTATTGTGTAAAAATTATTTGTATGAATTTTTCAAAAACTGTGGCTGCCCTTCAAGTTTGGCCTATTTTTTTTTCTCAAAAAGTTTGTGTACCTGTTTACCAATGAAACAATAGTGTTAGTAAAGAGCTTGAGATGAAACCAGTTATACAAACTAGTGAGAGTGTGAAAAGTGTGTTTTAAGACACTTTTAAAAAAAAAGGCCCCACAGGACCAAAGCACCCATAGTTAAATAAATGCATACATTTTAAGTGTGGCTTAAGTGGCCTAATTCTTTTTGGAAGATATTACAACATCACAAAGGTCCTGCTCTGTCTGCAGTGAAAGAATAAAAACATCTCTAATGAGCTGCCTCGTTTTGTCCAAATTTTGAGTGAGGACCTTATTAGATTACACAGACCACATGTACATGTTAATAGACAAAGCTGAGACCATGCAACAATATCCGAAGCTCTCAAATTTTTAGACAACTGCATGCAATTTCCAGCAAGTAACTTACAAGGACAACCTTCAGTTCAAACTGAGGATGAGCTAGTTTATGGTAACTGACCTCTGTCCATAGCTGGACTCCTTACGGCGACAATGCAGGGTCACAATCCTGTGACCTTCTGTTCTGACATCTTGACTAACCATCCAAAGCGTGGGGTTACTGGGTCGAGCACCAAGGAATGCCACTCCATCTTTTAACTTCACCCTGCATTATAGAGAAAGACAAAAATAGAGATAAACATCAATGCACTACAGTAAATACATCACAGAAGCGCATATCATTCAGAAAGTTGCATGCTTTTTTAAACATTTTTGACATTACTAAGTGTTTGATTGGTTGATTCCGGCATAATATTTTAATGAACATAAGAGCCAATGCAAAAAAAAAAAAAAAAAGCCCAGTTATGGCATCTGTGTAGTTATAACCCTGTGCTTTCCATTTCCAAACCATTCACTTATGCCAGCAGATTAACATAATAACACACTACTTGAATGTCAACTGCACGGACCACTTTCTGCAGGATCTATAACTCTCCACTATCTATTTCTGCATTATACTAAATGAGAGAATTATATGGAGCTGATTGAGTCCTGCAACCATTGAAGTGCTTCAGTCTCTGTGTGTCTCTCTATGGCCTACACTTGACCTACTGGAGAACAATCCACATTTGTATTGAGCATTTAACCAGGAACCTGATTATAACTATTATAAGCTTTCATTTTTGCCAGCTCAAGAGCTCTCATAGTTAAGCAGAGCCTGTAGCCGATTTTGTACTCACCATTTGAGTTGTGGATAATCTACTCAGATCTGTATAGGAGCTAATATACAGACTGGGAAATCTGACTGGTTTAAGCAGTAGAATGGGAGATTTGAGAGATTTTCCTGACTGAAGATTCAGCTTTCACATCAGACAGTGACTTCCTAATAACTTAAACTTACTTCTCAAACAAACTGTTTACATAAAATAAAATTCACAAATCTAAGTTCTGAAGGTCATTTTACCTTTGACACAATAGAGAATATGTGTACAGCCATTTTTTAATCATGCCCAATACTGTGTATGCTCTGAATGAGGTGATTATAACTAAAATGGTTTAACAAAACAAAAATGGATTTATTTAGCCATGAAATGTGTTATTTCCCCATAAAATAGATTAAAAATGGGAACCACTTATTAGAAAAAAAAAGTATTCTCTTCAGGTTTTTTAAAGCACAATAAAGCTAAATGCCATTTTTATTCACTGTACATAAAATAACTTTTGAATGATCTTATGATCAATGATAAATTTGACATGCAGATAAACCAATAATTCATTTATTCAATTAACCAATAAAGCCAATGTTATTTTTAGTTAAAAATAAAATAATTAAATTTAAATGAATTTAAATTAAATTAATCATTACAAATTCAAAATCTATATAAATTCTACAAGTGAATTTAGGCATCACAACATTATAATGTGCATTATGAAAATATATATAAATTTTGAGATGTGTTTTGTAAAACAAATCTCAAAATGAATGTACACATCCACACAAGTTTGAGGTCAGCAAGATTCTTTCATGCTTTTTAATGTAACATTTTTTTGTTGTTTCATGTTGAAGACCCTTACGCTCACCAAAGCTACATTTATTTAATCAAACATATAGTAATATATACTGTAATATTGTAAAAAATTATTGCAATTTAAAATTACTTTTCTGTTTTATATATTTTGAAAAATATTTTATTATTGTGATGCAAAGTTGATTTTTCAAAAGTCTTCACCTTCACATGATTCTTCAGAACTGATTTGATGCACAAGAAACATTTCTTATTATTATCAAAGTTGTGTTGCTTAATAGTATAGTGGCAACCATTTTTTCAGGAGTTTTTGATAAAAGGAAAGCTCAAAAAATATTGCAATTTAAAATTACTTTTCTGTTTTATATATTTTGAAAAATATTTTATTATTGTGATGCAAAGTTGATTTTTCAAAAGTCTTCACCTTCACATGATTCTTCAGAACTGATTTGATGCACAAGAAACATTTCTTATTATTATCAAAGTTGTGTTGCTTAATAGTATAGTGGCAACCATTTTTTCAGGAGTTTTTGATAAAAGGAAAGCTCAAAAAAACAGCATTTATTTGAAATAGAAATCTTTTGTAACATTCTAAATGTTTTTTTTTGTTTTTTTTTGGTGCTGTGCCTGCTGCTAGTGTGTACCATCACTTTTCCCAGTGAAAATAAAGCGGGAACTCATGGTTAACATTTACTGCGTACAACAGTCTTAAGAGTCTCTACAGCGACTAGTAGGATCCAATAATCCAATACTGTGCACACAGAGAAAATAACATACAAAGGAATAATAGTCTAACTGAAAGAGCTACTGGGGAGAAAGGCAGGGAATTTAGGCCAGTTCACCCAGACACACTAGCGTGTCATTGGTAATGAAAAAGCGGAGTGGATGTGAGCTTGAATAGATTCCATTCTCTCCGCGCTGTGAACCACTCAAGGCCAGCAGAGGTAGAGAGCAACAGAGGTACAGGCCGGCCACAAGCCGGTAATAGGATGACAAATGGCTGGCAAACAGCCAATCAAAAGACTCGGTTGGGGGTGGGATCACATTAGCATGTGACAGGGGGCCATAATTGACCCAGGGGAGATAACAGATGGAGAGGCACCCGAAATCAGAGAGGTCTAGCTTGGCCACACATCCCTCATTACTAGCCTCCTCTGATCCTTGCAGACCGGCCCTATGATTCATAATTGGTTTCACCATTGGACGTCAATGCGCGTTTGTTCGAGCACACAGTGCTTCATTAAATTTGTTAACGCTGGTCTGTGAACAGATGTGGTCAGATGGAGAAAAATGAGCTGAGTGATGGCAAAGCAGGTCTGACTGTAGGGCTGCACAATTAATCGAATTTCTAATCGCGATTACAATTATGGATGCCACAATTACGTAATCGTTCAAAGCGGCAATTAATCGTTCAAAGTCCACTTATGTTATTCTGTGTGCTTAAGATGCTTTTTTTTCTTTCTACATGTTATCTTAAGGGTTTTTCCATTGTTTTAATTTTAGTTTTAGTATAACACTATAATACCATTCATATTTTTACTTTTTTATAATTTAAAGAAGAAACCAATCCGAATTATAGTTGACATTTGAGGCTTAATACTATAGAAAAGCACTAAAAGCTTTTCAGTTAGAGTGTTTTCAGCTTGTTTATTTTCATATAAAAATACGGCATGCAGTTGCATCAAACAATGGTATAAACATCATTCAATGTAAATTGTGATAATCGCAATTAATAATCGCAATTACAATTTCAAGGGAATATTGGGTATTCAAGGGACAATTATGATTTTTGTCATAATCGTGCAGCCGTAGGTCTGAGAACAGGATATATCAACAAATATGAACGTCTTGCTAACGTTTATCTTTACTCTCCAGTCTCGAAAGACTAGGGCAAAGGACAACTGCCCCTAAATCTGCGGTTGGTCTTTGACCAACATGCTGAAAGTTTAAAGGGTGGCAGATTGTGGTGTCACAGTAGATCAACTCATTACAAGAGTAACATATTCTTGGCAGAAGCATAATACCACTGTGGCTGAACCCGAGTCTGCAGCTGATGCTTTTTGCATACGCTACAATTCCTTTAAAAACTGACTGCAGCTCACATATTATCAAGATACAACAAGAGACAAATAAAGAACTCAGAAACCGTCAAAGTCACCCACAATTAGCCAACCAGCTTTCCATAGACTGAAAATGCTAAATGCATGCGGATTGTAAAGGACTATTTTCACATTTTTAGGTTGAAACTTATATAGTGCCAAATGAGCTTGATGTGCCTTACCTTTGTTAACAAGAACAAACTGTGTTTGAACGTGAAGTTGAATGTGCAGAGAGATAAAACTGAATCCCACAAGATTTCAAACATTTCTGTACAAATGCACAAACTAGTAATGTCTAATCTGATATTTACTGCCATTTAATGGATTAATTGTAAACTGAATGTGAAAATATATCTGATTTACAGCATTAAAATTGAGCCATGTAATATTTTTTTTATGTTTTGTTGACTGCATTTTAGTTTGGTGATGAATATTTTGCGATATCTAGTGAGCAATGTTAGAACTGACATGTTGTGTGTGGTGCATATTTCAGTATGCTTGACATTAATTGCATTATATAAGTCACTTTGGAACACAAGTTGCACTCTTAAGTTAAACTAATTGCATTTAACATAAATTTAATCTATAATACATTTTTTTATTTAATTGCAAATACCATACATATTTTATAGATTTTAGTCCTCAAAATGTCAAATGGACTTTCTTTACAACTTGGCTGCAGAATTGAGACACCATGAGCAAAGATGCCATACTTCAAATCACAAACTTCTAAAAGTCCTGCAATAACTGAGCTCCAGCCATTGAGATGAATGTGAATACATAGTGTTCTGCAGGTATTATAGATCTCCTTTGGTTAGTATTGTTCAGTAAGCCCCTGCTGGCAGATGCCATAACTACACCAACTGAAAAAAGCATGTTTTTCCACAGTGTATCTTGGCAGAACAATTTTCACTCAGAAATTGCTATTAAGTTTCACAAACAATTACAAAGAAACTGCAATGGACACGTTGTGATATGTGAAATTGTGAAGTAAAATTTCTTATAAAACATACTCCAACAATAATTTTTACAGTGTTGGTACTGCCAAACTTGCTGAATATTTTCCCATTAATTCAAAAGCATCTGCAGACTGATTTCAGAGGTATTTAAGGAGTGTACAAACCTTTCATGGCAAGCTTCTTTTTTTGTTTTTGTTAGAGAAGACTGCATTTGTCACAAACACAAATAGTGCAGAAGCAGTGAAATACTGTCTCTGCAAGACCGCATAACTCTTAAAATGTAAATTCACCTGAAGCAGAAAATAAAGGAATAAAGTTAAAGAAAAGCAGAATAAAACAGGTAACAAAAACAAAGGGAGGCTATGTGTCTATGTATATACAGTAAACATACTGTGTAAATAAATCGAAATAAGTTCAGGCAAAACAGCATAAATTAGATATGTGCAAAGCAATAAGTTGCTCAATATATAAACAGCTACTGTGTGCAACAAAGTACAGTAGTGTGAAGAGGCAGAGTTGTTAAAAGTCCATTTATAACATCTGTGTTATGTGGTACTTTCACTCCCCTGGCTGTTCTAGCTT